CTGTGCTTCTTGATGCGGAAGTGGCTCTAGGTGGAGTACTGGCGACATTCCTTCTGGGAAGCATCAAGTTCAGTGGCCAGTTGGTCAACCTTGATCTTCCACTCATTAACAACTCTGTCGAAGTCCTTCTGCCTCCTCTCAGCAGCATTAGCCAGACCTTGGGCACGCTCTACCTGCATCTGCATCTCGTCGATTTCGGAAATGATGCGTCCCTTAGCCTTCTCCAGCTGCATGTTCTTGACATTGAGTTGTTCAATCTGCAGCTCAGCTTCCTCGAGGCGAGCGGCAAGTTTCAGGCGGGCAGCCTCGATCTCTTCAGCACGGGCAACGCCCTCTGATTCATACTTAGAGCGCCACATCTGAGCCTCTGCATAAGCCTTGGACAGTTGGCGGTTGGCATCAGCCTTGGCTTCACACTCTTCATCAAGCTGCTCACGAAGACCATCCAGATCATGCTCCAGGTTGCGGAACTTGCCAAGAAGAACACCGCGCTCCTATGTGGTGTATAAGTTCATTTTAATTTTCTCTCGATCTGTCAGTCTCCTTTTCTATGTAATACTCTACCTATTAATAAATATGTATTCATAAATAAACAAATAGGTTTATGTATATAAACATACCACAACTTACCCTAGATTCATCATCAACCATTTTCTTAGTATCTTCCAGCTGAGTGGTAAGAGACAACTTCAAATTGTTCAGCTGATTAATCTGATTATCAGCCTCCTCCAGCTGTCGCAGAAGGTCTCCGTTCTCAACAGAGAGCTTCTTCTTCTGGGCATCGAAGTCGTTCAGAGTGCGGTTAGCTTCATCCAGCTTCACATTAACTTCATTGATTTGCTGCTGAATGGTCTTGTTCGCTTTCTTTGTGTGGCAAAATAAGATATCTAGCTTGTGTAATACCAGAAATAATTAATGAATTGTTGGTTATTTGTAAATATATCTATGCACGTGCAGTGTGTGTAATATACATACCTATATATATGATATTTGGATTTCAGTTGAATAAACAAACAAATACAGAAATAGACATATAACATATAGCACTCAATATTACCTTGTCACGAGCGAGACTATCCATGGCTGATTTAGCTTCATCGGCCTGATATTTCATCATCTCTTTTTCCTTTTCAGTCCTAATTTTATATATATATAAAAAAATGTTTGTATACAATACATGTGTAAAATGTAGAATATAGTAAATTAGTAAAGCACAATATTTCACATCAAAACGCATTTGGAAATATGATCACTTACTTGGCCTTCGTCTTGTTGAGATGGTCGATCTGTTCAGTCATCTCGGCAACAGCATCATTGTGCTTCTTGCGAAGGTTAGCAAGAGCTGATTCGTGTTGGATGTTGGCTTCCTCGAGGTCACGACGAAGCTTACCCAGCTCTGCCTCCCGCTTCTTGTTAAGCTCAACCTGAGCACCTGTTGCACCGCCTGCCTCATCCAGACGCTCATTGAGGTCATTGAGTTCGGTTCATATTTCCCTTGCCCTTCTCGGCCTTGGCACGAGCCTGCCGCTCATGCTCAGCTTCAGTCTCGAGTTCCTCAATGCGGGCTTGCATTTCTTTGATTGTCTTCTGTACCTTCGAAACTACCACTTGTTCCTCCTCCAGTTTATTGGCAAGATTGCCGATTTCCTTATCCTTACGCTGGATGGTTTGCTCCAGGTCCTTATGCTGGCGCTCGATGTCAGCAACAGTTTCTTGGGTCATTTTCAGATCTCCCTCTACCTTCCTCTTGGACCTCTCAATTTCAGCACGAAGCTTCTTCTCGCGTCCAACGGAACTCTCGAGTTCGTCGAGGGTTTGTTCCAACTTGGCCTTGATCTTGTTGAGGTGGCTGGCCTTTTCCTCGACGGCCTGAAGATCCTCAGCAGTCTTTTGATTCATCTCCTGCAAAAGTTTCTTTTCCTTGTTAACCTTGTTGATGATTTCATCCTGGTGAGATATTTCATCATTGATATTCCTGATCTGGTGATCCTTGGTAGCCTTATCCTGGTTAGTCTTCTGAACATTAAGTTCAAAATCTTCCAGGTCTTTCCTCATGGCATTGACATCTTGCTCCGCTTTCCTCTTCAACTGGAACATTTCAGTGCGATTTTCCTCTTCTTTCTGAAGTCTAGCAGAAGCATCCTAGAATTGGACAGAAAAGGAGTCCACTATTGATGATTATACACATGAGCATTCATTATTCCTATAAAATATCACGTTTTGGGTTAACTGCAAGAACAATATTAAAACAATATGGCATCATATTAAATTCAATTAAGATAAAGTTACTTACAGAGAGCTGAGCCTCCAAGTCAGCTTTGGCTGCACTAATCTTGGCCTGTTCTTCAATGAATTTGGAAACATTGCCCTTTGTGGATTCAAGCGTTTCCTTCAGGGTATTCAGCTCTTCGGCAAGGCTCACGTTGGATTCTTCCAGCTCCTTGCGGCGAGTACACTCGCGATCCAAGTCTGCAACAGCCTTCTCAGCCCTGTCCTTGAGCTTGTTGATCTCGTCTTCAATCCTTGGTTGGTTGATGAGGGGCTTCACCTTCTGCCAGAAGATGAACCAGGACCAGTTGCTCATGTCCATATACTTGCGAATGTTCCGCTGCAGAACTACAAGGGATACACGTTGTTCCTGAAGACGGCCATATTCTTTGCGTCCAATCAGTCCACGGATCCATGACTGCATCCAAGTGATGATCTTGGCCAAACGTTCATCACGAAGCTCTTCCATGGTACCCAGGACGCCAGCACGGAAGAATACCTGTATAGATAACATGCATTGCAAAGAATTTCAACACAGAACTTCGATTTATCAGATCGCCTGAAGTAAGACAAATTACATACCTTTGTCTTACCGCACCTATACAACTCCTTATCAAGTCCAGATTTCTGGAATGTCATTTCTGCTGCCTTCTTGTCATCCTTTTCTGTGGCCATGACGTCAGCGGCCAAAATCTTGTAACTATGGAGAGAAAGTATCATAGTCGTAAAATTGTCTCGAGATTTAATGCATGTGAATCATTTTGAATTAGGTTTGCCATTTCAACATGAGACTCACCGGTGTTTGAAGTCAGGGTATTGCATCCTGTTGGGGAAGCCCTTCTGGCAAATACGAATGCCCTCAAGTACACCATTGCAGGTCAGCTGATGCATGATAAGGCCAGCCTCCACGACACCTATATGATGGAATAATAATTAACACGCTCTCTTTATGCACGGGGATAGCAAAGGAGTCATATAAATCCAGAAACAAGAGATTTACCTGGTGACTTGGTCTCGTTGGGCACAATGCAACACCAGTGGAGTGCAGGGTCGTCATGAGGCTGTTCAACTGCTCCTGTAAGGGTATGTACATCATTGGAAAAAGGATGTTCGTTTAATGATAAATAATAATATACATACATCTTAACTATATGTGCGTGCGCACGTGCAAATATATAATGTGTGTGTGCTATATATATATATATATATATATATATATATATATATATATATATATATATATATATAAACGCAGATATAGATATATGTATACACACAAAGAAATGTGTATATATGAAAATGATATATATGTGTCTATGTGTGTGTGATTATAATATATATATATATATATATATATATATATATATATATATATATAATTATACATACAATACTATAGTATCATTTCCATCTGTATTTGTGTGTCAGTGCGTGTATGCGTCTATACATGTGTATGGGATCCTTGCTGGTGTTTGCGCGTATACGTGGATGCGTGTGTGTGCGTATATATATATATATATATATATATATATATTACGATATATATATATATATATATATATATATATATATATATATATATATATGCGTAGATATAAACATAAATACATAGGTAAATATAGATACATATATGAACATATATGTTTTAATTTCAAACTCTATTGTGTGTATCATTATTATATATTGTAAGATGTAAAGAGCCATACTGAAAGAATGAAAAGATAGATATAGAGAAAAACGCTGATCTTTTAAACTTATGAAGAGTCGGCAAAGTTACAATACTTGAAGGCAATCTATTCCAAAGCCTACAAATGGTAGTAAAAAGCAT